AGGCCATATGCTGGAAGACCACCGCCCATGGCAGGGAGGGACGAGGAGGTGGAGGCACCCTGGTCCACCCTCGCCCCCTGCATCACCCCCCGCCACGGGCAGTCAGCCCACACCATCCGGGGGGGAAGCAGGATCCCCTGCCCCGAGGTCCAGAGCTGAGCTGGGGGGTCTGGGGTGGGGGAAGAATGGCGTGGGGAACTGGGGGGGAAAAATAGCAGGGCAAGGAGCTGTCAGTGCCTCAGTTCTGCCACCTTGGGGGTGGGAGGAAGCCCCAGGGCCCCTCACCTCCACCCAGCTGGGGTTGAGCTCAAGGGCTTTGGGCTGGCAGGACACTGCTGTGGGGTGTGGGTCCTGCTGTGCCCCTCCTCTCCTCTGCTCCCCCTACCCAGCTTATGCCCAGCACATGTGGGAGGTGGCCTGGTGGGACCCCATTGTCCCCACCTGGGACCCGGCACCCGCTGGGGACCCTTCCTCCAGCAGGAGAGACCCATCCTGAGGGGTATGGGAAGAGCTGGGGGGGCCTGGCTGGCTGCAGGGCCCTGGGACCCCCAGCTGTGACCCCTTCCCCTCCATGTCCCCCTTGTCACCCGCAGTCAGAGCCCCCGGGCGCTGGGGGGCAGCTCAGGGTACGTCCCCATGCTCTCCTTCTGCCACGTCCCCCTCAGCACCCAGAGTCTCCTCCAGCACCAGTAAAAGCCACTGCTCCTGCTGCCACCGGTGCCCCTGGCACGTTCCTGGGGAACAGGGAGGGGATGGGGGGTGGCAGGAGGAGTGCCGGGGGGGGAATGGTGCTTGTCCTGTGATGTCTGGCCTGGCCGGGTGCTGCCCACCGCAGTCCCCCAAACCCTGCCTGGGGTCGGGGCGCTCACCGCCTCCCCTGACTTGTCCCAATGAATAAGGCAGCCACGTGTCCTTGGGGGAAGGGGCAACGTGGGCTCCCCCGAGCCCAGAGTGCCCCCAGAGGGGTGTCACATCTTTATTAATTAAATAGTTCTGTCCCTTTGTCCCTGCCTGGCCTGGCACTGGGCCCCCCCCTCCCCTCTGCCTGGTGGTGAAGGCTGGGGACAGGGGGGGGGGCGGGGGGCTGACCCCTGAGCTTCTCGTTGACCCTTGCAGAGCTCCCCAGGTTCTTCCTGCTGCTGCTCAGGGTGGGGAGACATGGACGGAGCGAGACAGAGCCCCACAGCCTGCGTGGGCTCCCCCGGCATACTGGGGGGGCTGGAAGGCACTCGGTGATGGAGCCCCCCCCCGCTATTCCCCAAGAGGTGGAGGGAGGGCTTAGAGCAGCCCCCGAGTCTGTCCTCCAGCGGGGGCCCTGGTGATGGCCGGGTCCTTGCTGGCCTCACGTCTTCTTGTACCTGCGGGGCCGGGGGGAGGCAGGGTGAGGGGGAGTCCCCGCTGCCCTGGGGACAGAGGGACCCCCGCTACTCACTGGTGTGACAGGTTGAGGGCTGGCCAAGCCCCCACGGACGCCAGCTGCTGCTCCAGCTCCACGATGCGCAGACCTATGTACCCCGAGGACAGCAGCAGGGCCACCATCCTGGGGGACAGGCCAGTGTCAAGCACGGGGCCCACTGCCGGGCTCCCGTGTGCCCACCCTGGGGACGCAGTGGCTGGGCCAGTGCGGGTGCCCAAGGGGAGTCGGGAACCCCGGGCTGCCAGACTGGAGAGCCTGCCTGTGCCGTGGTGCAGTGGGGACAGGGACCCGGGGGGGTGTCCCAAAGCCCCAAGGTGCATGAGTGGGTCCTGGGCACTCACAGCAGCAGGTAGATGAGGATGATGGTGTTGAGGGGGCTCAGCTGTGCCGTGGTCCGGGCCCATAGTGTGGTGTGGGGTCCCCCTGCCAGGATGAGGCAGTGGTGTCAGTGCCGGGGCTGCTGAGAGCCCCAGCCCGGCCCCTGCGGTCGGCTGTGCCAAGAGCCAGCCCTGGGGTCAAGTCCCAGCAGCATCCCCCTCCCCAGGACCCCCAACACACCCCAGAAGCTGCGTGGCTTTGCCAAGGGCACCCGCTCACCGCTGCTCAGAGCTGGCACGGCCGCTGCCACCTCTTCATCCTCCTCCTCCGCTTGCCTTGGCCTCACGGTCGGGCCATCTGTGGGGAGCC